TCCTAAAAACTGTCCAAAAAGGTGCTTAAGTGTGAAGATTCATCTGAAAAGATCTCAGGTAGGTGCTCTATATAATCCAGGTGATGTGCCGTGAAATATGTTAGGAAAACGCACTCACCAGATGCGCAACTGTAATGCGCATATATATATATATATATATATATATATATATATATATCTCCCTCTCAGGATGTCTGCCAGAGGTCCCTTTAAGGATAGGGTCAGCCTGGTCTGGCCAAAGACAGAAGTGTATCCCCTTCCCCTGGGTAGTCTGCGGTCCTCCAGAATGGGCTCTGTATTGGTATCCGCTCACAAAGAGCCTCATTAAATGATGTCTTTGTGGCCCTGGCTATACATGGGCTGCCTGCTTGCAGTCTTTCTCTGATTGGCTGACACGGAGATTGAGATGGCATCTGCCAGCCTCTCCACCTCAACCACTTAGAGAAAGGTTTGTATTCATTCATAGAATACTCATGAATGCCTAACTATTTGTTGTGGTAGTGGGATGGGAAGTCTCCCCTCAAGTAACAGAACACACTGCTATATACTGTATATACTGTATGTAGCTGAGGCTACATACAGTTAATGTAGTGCGCCCAGCAAGCACAAGCAAGCTTGATGATGCAGTAAATTGTGTTTTAGCCAGTTTGAACCAAACAAACTATTTAAAAGGACATTAAATGTGGAATTTGGCTTTACCAGTATGAAGGTTCAGGAAAGCAGTATTTGTGATAAGTTAAGATCAAGAACATGGAGGAAAGTTCAAAACCTACCTTAGAAAGTATTATTTTACCAAAAAGGTAGTACATGTTTGGAACAGACTTTCAGCAGAGGTAGAAAGTAGGTCAACAGTTTATTCAAACATGGTTGAGTGTTTATATATATATATATATATATATATATATATATACACGCACACACACACACTATATTGTCAAAGGTATTGCGAGACCAATCCAAATCACTGGATTCAGGTGTTCCAATCACCTCCATGGTCACAAATGTATAAAATCAAGCACCTAGGCATGCAGACTGCTTCTACAAACATTTGTGAAAGAATGGGTCGCTCTCAGGAGCTCAGTGACTCCAAGCGTGGTACCGTGATAGGTTGTCACCTGTGCAATAAGTCCATCCGTGACATTTCCTGGCTACTAAATATTCCACGGTCAACTGTTAGTGGTGTTATAACAAAGTGGAAGCAACTGGGAACAACAGCAACTCAGCCACCAAGTGGTAGGCCACGTAAAATGACAGAGCGGGGTCAACGCATGCTGAAGTGCACAGTGCGCAGAAGTCACCAACTGTCTGCAGAGTCAATAGCTAAAGACCTCCAAACTTCATGTGGCCTTCAGATTAGCACAACAACAGTGCGTAGAGAGCTTCATGGAATGGATTTCCATGGCCGAGCAGCTGCATCCAAGCATTACATCACCAAGTGCAATGCAAAGCGTCAGATGCAGTGGTGTAAAGTATGCCACCACTGAACTCTATAGAGCAGTGGAGACGTGTTCTCTGGAGTGATGAATCACACTTCTCTGGCAATCCGATGGACTTGTCTGGGTTTGACACTTTCCAGGAGAACAGTACTTACATAACTGCATTTTGCCAAGTGTAAAGTTTGGTGGAGGGGAGATTATGGTGTAAGGTTGTATTTCAGGGGATGGGCTTGACCTATTAGTTCCAGTGAAGAGAACTCTGAAGGCGTTAGCATACCGAGACATTTTGGACAATTCCATGCTCCCAACTTTATGGGAAGAGTTTGGGGATGGTCCCTTCCTGTTCCAACATGACTGCGCACCAGTGCACAAAGCAAGGTCCATAAAGACATGGATGAGCGAGTTTGGGGTGAAAGAACTTGACCTGCACAGAGTGAACACTTTTGGGATGAATTAGACCAACATCAGTGCCTGACCTCAAAATTGCAATTCTGGAAGAATGGTCAAACCTTCCCATGGACACCCTCCTAAACTTCGTGGACGGCCTTCCCAGAGGAGTTGAAGCTGTTATAGCTGCAAAGGGCGGGGCCAACTCAATATTGAACCCTACGGACTAAGACTGGGATGCCATTAAGTTCAGGTGCTTGTAAAGGCAGGCGGCCCAATACTTTTCGCAATATAGTGTTTGTGTGTATATATATATATATATATATATATACACAGGTGCAATTATGTGGATGTACCCTGTACGTGTAGGCCCAGGACAGGCCAGGAGGCCCAAAAGGAGTAAACCTACACTCAGGAACATCCAGCTGTAGTCTCTGTCCCTTATGGAGCTATGGGCTAGGGCAGATTGCAAAAGGCCTTTTTAGGCCAGGCCAAGAGTTCCCTGTGTGCATGGAAAAATAATATATTTTTAAATATATTTTTACAAATATTCTTCCCAAATATATTGACATATATATGAAATACTACAATTTTGGCCGTATTCAATATATTTAAAAATAAAAGTTCAAAATATATTTCAATATATATATATATATATATATATATACTGTATAGAAATGCTGTTTTTTATATGCATTTACAAATATATGTACAAATATGTTAAAAATTACTTTTTTATATGCTAAAAAAAATCTAAAGAATATATTTCAAAAATATACATATTATTCATATATTTTGTAATATATAAAAAATGCATTTCAACATACAGTGTGTATATACATATATATATATATCTATATATCTATACAGTCATGGCCGAAATTGTTGGCACCCTTGATATTTCTCCAGGAAATCATGTATTTCTCACGAAACGTATTGCATTTAACACATGTTTTGCTATACACATGTTTATTCCCTTTGTGTGTATTGGGACAAAACAAAAAAAGGGAGGAAAGAAAGCAAATTCGACATAATGTCACACAAACCTCCAAAAATGGGCTGGACAAAAGTATTGGCACCCTTTCACAACTGCGGATAAATAAGAATGTTACAAGCATGTGATGCTCCTGTAAACTCACCTGGGGCAAGTAACAGGTGTGGGCAATATAGAAATCACACCTGAAAGCAGATAAAAAGGAGAGACGTTCACTTAACCTTTGCAGTGTCTGTCTGTGCCACACTAAGCATGGACAACAGAAAGAGGAGACGAGAACTGTCTGAGGACCTGAGAACCAAAATTGTGGCAAAATATCAACAATCTCAAGGTTACAAGTCCATCTCCAGAGAACTAGATTTGCCTTTGTCCACAGTGCGCAACATTATCAAGAAGTTTGCAACCCATGGCACTGTAGCTAATCTCCCTGGTCGTGGACGGATGAGGAAAATTGATGAAAGATTGCAACGCAGAATAGTCCGGATGGTGGATAAGCAGCCCCAAACATGTTCCAAAGACATTCAAGCTGTCCTGCAGGCTCAGGGAGCATCAGTGTCAGCGCGAACTATCCGTCGACATTTAAATGAAATGAAACGCTATGGCAGGAGACCCAGGAGGACCCCACTGCTGACACAGAGACATAAAAAAGCAAGACTACAGTTTGCCAAAATGTACTTGAGTAAGCCAAAAGCCTTCTGGGAAAACGTCTTGTGGACAGATGAGACCAAGATAGAGCTTTTCGGTAAAGCACATCATTCTACTGTTTACCGAAAACGGAATGAGGCCTACAAAGAACAAAACACAGTACCTACGGTAAAATATGGTGGAGGTTCAATGATGTTTTGGGGTTGTTTTGCTGCCTCTGGCACTGGGTGCCTTGACTGTGTGCAAGGCATCATGAAATCTGAGGATTACCAAAGGATTTTGGGTCGCACTGTAGGGCCCAGTGTCAGAAAGCTGGGTTTGCGTCCAAGATCCTGGGTCTTCCAGCAGGACAATGACCCCAAACATACGTCAAAAAGCACTCAGAAATGGATGGCAAAGAAGCGCTGGAGAGTTCTGAAGTGGCCAGCAATGAGCCCAGATCTAAATCCCATTGAACACCTGTGGAGAGATCTTAAAATTGCTGTTGGGAAAAGGTGTCCTTCCAATAAGAGAGACCTGGAGCTGTTTGCAAAGGAAGAGTGGTCCAAAATTCCGGGTGAGAGGTGTCAGAAGCTTATTGATGGTTATAGGAAGCGACTGATTTCAGTTATGTTTTCCAAAGGGTGTGCAACCAAATATTAAGTTAAGGGTGCCAATACTTTTGTCCAGCCCATTTTTGGGGTTTTGTGTGACATTATGTCATATTTGCTTTTCTGCCTCTGTTTTATATTTGTTCCAATACATACAAAGGGAATAAACATGTGTATAGCAAAACATGTGTTAATGCAATACCTTTTTTGTGTGAAATACTTGATTTTCAGGAAAAATATCAAGGGTGCCAACAATTTCGGCCATGACTGTATATAGATATGTATATTCTGAAATGTATTGAATGCGGTCAAAATTGTAGTATTTCAAATATATGTCAAGTGCACCTAGCAAGGAGGTGACTACACAAAGAACAATCCAGAGCACTAATGACCCCAGGTAGAGGAAAGACTGTAACGGAGATTGCTGCTATGGTGCTGCATATCCTTTTGCTTTCACTTGTGACTACTGCGGACTGTCCACTTAAAGTGATTGACTGCGTAATGTCCAGTAACTCCTGAATGTATATCTTTGTGATGTGATTGTTATGTCATTTCCTGAATTCCACCAGTAAAGTACAGCAAAACTACATATATGTGTGGATAAGGTCAGTGGCCAGGCATATAATGTGAAGGCCTCTGACATGGAATGGGGCACAGGATGGTGGAGGGTTCAGCCTCAACAGGAGGGACAATGTTTTAGCAAGACAGGAGCGGGGGTAAGGACTTGTCCTCTTGAGGCCAAATACAGCAAACCACAAATATCCCCTTACATATACGAGGGGCGTTCAAGTCAAACTGGAACTTAAAATTTTACAGGTCTAAAAAGGGATGGTAGCAAGGCGGTACTACACCCAGTAGTAAGTGGCAAGTGTGTCCTATTACTGACAGGCAGTGCACATGTCACAGGCCAGCCCAGAGACTGGTAATCAAGATGGCAGACAATAGTGTTAGTGCTTGCATAGAACAGCGTGTTGTGATGAAGATTCTTGCAAACGAAGGCTTAAAAGCCACAGATATCTGCAGGAGGCTTCAAGCACAATACGATGATGAGACGCTCCGCCGCAGTTAGGCATTTGAATGGTGTAAACGTTTAGCTGTATGTCCTGGCCGTGGTGGTTCCCAGCCCACAGCAGTCGTTCCTGTGAAAATTCAATGCCTGATCTTGGATATTAGACGCATAACCTGTTGTGAAATTGCACAAGAGGCAAATCTTTTTGTGGGAACGGTGAACACAATGATGACAGAGTGAAGCAGGCTGTCCTAGGATGGTTCAGGCGTACTGACAAATCTTTCTATGTCAAGTTTTCCAGGCATTAGCTAAATGCTGGAATAAGTGTATAAATGTAGCAGGGGAGTATGTAGAAAAATAAATGCAGTTTCTATTGTATTGTTCTTGTATATATTCAGGAGTCTGACTTGAATGCCCCTCGTGTATCTCTCTCTCTCTATATATATATATATTTAGATAGATATCTATATATATATATATATATACTGTATATATATATATATATATATATATATATGTACCGCTTGGTCTTTTTCTGCCATCACTTTTCGATGTTTCTAAAAGTCGTTCCTCTTTAGAATATTCATTCGCACACAACAATCCATCACATGACAAAAATGCAATTATATCAACATTTTTAAAAGGCGAGCTTATTGGTTACAGATACATCAAGTCAAGAAGCCGGTGTACAGAAGAACAGCAAATTTCCACCATATGAGCTGTTCTTAATGCTGATCGGATTTCCATTTAAATATTATCAATCGCTACTTCTCTTAACACGATAAAATAATTATAGAGGCTGCTGATTGTAGCAAGGACGGCACAACAAGAGCTTGTGCTTCCGTCCCTGAATAAAACAGGATCTATCCGTCTCATTCTTCCGGCAATTTGTTAAGGCACAATGAGGCTGAGAGATCTTGTTTTCTCAGACAAAGCTTTATTAAGTTTTGTGGCACGGTTGAGTTCCCCGAAGTTCTAATTACCTTCTTTCAGTGTTTCGACATCTTATTACCAATGAGAGCAAACCTATCAACCACTTAAAACCTGCAGAAGAGCAACTTTCAATAATTCATGCGTTAAAAACTAATTAGCAACAAAATGATAAATGATAAATTGAGCCTAAACTCTGTTAATTTGATTTGGAGGTGGACAAAGCCTAGCAGCCTGGAGTGTATCAACAAAAAAGTGACCCGTGCCTACCGCTGTCCACTGAAATAAATCATTTTAGGCACTTTAATGGGTTTTAAAAAAATATGCTTTGAGATATATATATATATATACACATATATATACACACACACTGATCAAACAAATTAAAGGAACACTTTAATCAGAGTACAGCGTCAAGTCAATGAAACTCCTGGGATATTGATCTGGTCAGTTAAGTAGCATCGGGGTTGTTAATCAGTTTCAGCTGCTTTGGAGTTAATGAAATTAACAACAGGTGCACTAGATGGACAACAATGAGACGACCCCCAAAACAGGAATGGTTTTACAGGTGGAGGTCACTAACATTTTTTTCCCTATTCATCTTTTCTGACTGTTTTTCACTTGTTTTGCATTTGGCTAGGGTCAGTGTCACTACTGGTAACATGAGGCCATACCTGGACCCTACAGAGGTTGCACAGGCAGTCCAACTCCTTCTGGATGGCACATCAATACGTGCCATTCCCAGAAGGATTGCGGTGTCTCCAGCACAGTCTCAAGCGCATGGAGGAGATTCCAGAAGACAGGCAGTTCCTCTAGGAGAGCTGGACAGGGCCGTAGAATGTCCTTAACCCATCAGCAGGACCGGTATCTGCTCCTTTGTGCAAGGAGGAACAGGATGAGCACTGCCAGAGCCCTACAAAATGACCTCCAGCAGGTCACTGGTGTGAATGTCTCTGACCAAACAATCAGAAACAGACTTCATGAGGGTGTCCTGAGGGCCCGATGTCCTCTAGTGGGTCCTGTGCTCACTGCCCAGCACCACAGAGCTCGATTGGCATTTGCCATTGAACACCAGAATTGGCAGGTCCACCACTGGCACCCTGTGCTTTTCACAGATGAGAGCAGGTTCACCCTGAGCACATGTGACAGACGTGAAAGGGTCTGGAGAAGCCATGGAGAATGTTATGCTGCCTGTAACATGGTTCAGCATGACTGTTTTGGTGATGGGTTAGTGATGGTCTGGGGAGGCATATCCATGGAGGGATGCACAGACCTCTACAGGCTAGACAATGGCACCCTGACTGCCATTAGGTATTGGGATGAAATCCTTGAACCCATTGTCAGACCCTACACTGGTGCAGTGGGTCCTGGCTCTTACTGTGAAGAAGCCTTTCCGTATCTGGAGCTTAAATCTAATTTCATCCAGACGTAAAGAGTGCCTCTTTGTCCTCTGTGATGAAAGTGAATAATTCAATACCAGGTTCACATACAGTGAACCAGTAACACACCACCTGTATTAGAGCGCCCCCACTCTGGATGGAGGAGCCCAGGAGGCACCTTTGGAAAGCAGCATTGTCAGTTTGAGGGAAGTGTTAGATGGACTAACAGATTTAAATACACTAACAAACTGAAGCCAAACTCCAGCTCAAACTTTAAAAGCCGCTACAGCAGTTTTGTTTCTTTTGGGATAAAGGTTTTATATAAAATAAAAGATGATCATTGTAAGCAACCCTGTCAGTGGTAAATGGTTTGTCTCAACCTTCTAACTGCTACATCTGCAGAATAGCTCGTTCTTTTGAAAAACAACAGACTTACTGGCAGGATCACCAGATGAAAATAGAAAAAAGAAAGCCTAAAAAAGAAAAGGAATGCAGCCATTACATCTAAGAACTGGTCAGCTGCAATACAAGAAATGTTTGTTTTTGGGTTTGATACCACTTTACAAATCAACCTGTGAGCTCCAGTGACTTTGCTGGGCTTCAATGATGTCCTGCATGCAGAACGAAGCATCACCTAGGCTCTACACCAGCCTTTCTCAAACTTTTAGAGGAACCCTTGAAATAATTTTCTGGTCTCAGGGAACCCCTGCTAATAATTATTGCATCTACAGCTCCCTGTACATTAGTGTGATGGTCAGTGGGAAGAATTCTCACATTTGTGCCCACAGGGAACCCCATGCCCCACCTCTCTCAGATAGCTAAGATCACTGGTGCCAGTGGTTACATATCTTCGGGGTAGAAATTGCTCAAGGAAGCCCTAGCACCCTCTGGAGGAACCCTGGTTGAGAAAGCTGGGCAGCACAGTGTCTAAATGGTTAGCACTTCCACCTGGCAGTACTAGGGGCGTCGGTTTGAATCCCAACCACAGCACCACCTGCATGGAGTTTGCATGTTCTCCCTGAGCCTGTGTGTGTTTCCACCAGGTACTCTGGTTTCCTCCCACACTCCAAAGACATGCTGGGAGGTTGATTGGATCCTTTCTAAATTGGATCATTGACTACTGCAACTCCCTCCTCACTGGCCTGCCTCACCGCTGGCTATCCCCGCTTCAGTCGATCCTGAATACGGCTGCCAGACTCATTCACCTTTCCAACCGCTCCGTCTCTGCCACCCCCCCTCCGCCAATCCCTCCACTGGCTTCCGATTGCGCAACGGATCAAATTCAAAATCCTAACGCTGACGTACAAAGCTGTCCACCATACTGCCCCGAACTACATCACTGACCTAATATCCAAGTACCGCCCAGCACGCACACTCCGCTCCTCACAAGACCTCCTTCTCTCTAGTTCCCTGGTCTCCTCCTCCCATGCCCGCCTCCAGGACTTCTCCAGGGTGTCACCCATCCTCTGGAACTCCCTGCCCCAACCCATCAGATTATCACCTACTCTCCTCTCCTTCAGGCGCACCTGAAAACCCACTCTTCAGGGAAGCCTACCCCACCCCCTGCTAACTGCCGATCTCCTCCACTCTTCCTACCACTCCATCCCCCACAGCTATCTCCTCCTGTGCCACCATCCCCTCCCTCCTAGATTGTAAGCTCCAAAGAGCAGGGCCCTCAATCCCCTCATGTTTTGCATTGTATTGGTATTGTTCTGTCACATGTTCTGTCCCCCTTTGTAATGTACAGCGCTGAGCGAACTATTGGCGCTTTATAAATACTGTATAATAATAATAATAATTTCTAAACCTTAGATTGTACGCCCCTTGAGGGTTAGGGACTGATGTGAATGTACAATATATATGTAAAGCGCTGTGTAAATTGATGGCGCTATATAAGTACATGTAATAAATAAAAATAAATAAATAAAGCTGCTCTACACTGTAAACCTGTAAGTCACAAGGTAAGAGGCTGTAGTAGGGGGCTGATCTGTGTCAGACATTTGTGAAAACAGACATCAGCAGGATTTACATGATTGTGTCATCACTGAATCAGCATCCCAGACCACAGAGCAGACATTGACTCCAGATGATGCTTGAACAATCATGGTGCTGTCCTTCTGGAGAATAAAAAGGGCAGATAAAAGCACTAGCCAGGGGAGTACTGTGATCTCTGTGAGAGGTATTTAATACCTGGAAATGTCACACTTACACATTATTTAGCATGTTGCACTTATTAAAAAAATAACCCTGGTGCTCGGTCCACATGGCTCTCTGTATTCAGCCGTCCTTCCCAATCCATTTCCTTGTCAGTGTTCCCAACCTATCCCCGGACGCCCAGCCAACTCCAGCCCTAAAAATAGCCCAGCCGCGCCGCCAATAATTATCTTTTCTGTGATGAAATTTTAAAGCCATTTTTCCTGACAGATTTATACTTTTAGCTGCGAGTCAGATGTGAAAATTAGATTTTTGGAGATATTGGAAAACAGATTAGTGGAGGCTTTCAGATGACTTTTTTTTTTTCTTTCCTCATTGTCTGTAGATCTCAGGGCGATCGGCTGACAGGAGGAAAACATATTTCTTATGAGATTACTCCGCAATCACAGATGCTAAGCTGCCATATTGCGGATTCTCAAACATTCTTCCCTTTTGTAATTATAACCGCTGTGTGCAGAATCATGGGAAGACATCCGATAGGTGCGCCTGTCCTCTACGATGCCGAGATAACTTGGCTTCATTATCGCTGGAG